TTCAAGGACCACTGAGCAATTGGGTAATCGGTCGTCAATCCTATGCTTGCCAAGAGAATTCCAAGCTGAAGCCTCCCGCGTGTTGCATATTGGGTGTGTTTAGTGTGGTTGTGAGTGGATAATACAAGGGCCGTTGTTCGGCAACCCGGGCAAAAACGTCCATGTCGGTTTGGAGATCATCACCAATCAAGGACGCCACAATAGCCTCAAGGGAGGGCATTCTTGGGCCTCCATCGCAGTTACAGCAGGAAAGGTATGGAAGTTTGGAGGAACTAGACGGGTCAGCAGGGGACTACAGTGCTGCTAATGTTGGTGTTTGAGGTGGTTCCAAGGGTCCACGGGTGCTGGACATTCCCCGCTAAAACCTGCATTTCAGCGGTTAGAGGCCAGTAGAATCCAGTAGTGTTGCTCAGAGCTATATGGATCTCTCCAGGGTGATAGTCGTCTTTATGACTCTGTCTGTGGGGAGGTCGGATCATGTGCAAGAGCTGGGATGGAAGGCAGTAAAACTTGAGATTTTGATCCTAAGTGACAAAATAAACCCCACAGAGACTCTCCTTACTTATGATAACTTACCAAAGTCTTTTCATCACTTAACTAGGGTCAAGGTCCCAAGGTTTCCTGCTCCCGGAAGCTGGCGTGGCTTGTTTATGCTGGAGCTCATACTGAACGACAAGGTGCAGCTTCGTATCGCGATAGGCGCTGTAGGTGGTACCAAATGACGTAGGCCATGCCGAAGGAAATCCACCCTGAAATTCAAGCTTCTGTCGGTGCTTTTGTTGCCGAGGTTTTGAATGTTACCTTTGTTCGCCGTTTCGCCGTATGGCCAGAGAGAAAGACGAGACCTGATGCTGGTAAAGCACAAAAACCAAGATCAGAGATCGAGATCTCTGATGTGAGACATATAGAAGATATCTATTCACATGTCGACATGCGCCTCATTCATCTGACTCGACTCTTAAGGGTCGTGACGCCCCCACTGAGCGTGACAGCATAAACGTGCCCCAAGTGACGGGTAACGCACATCGATTATTATGGTGGGGCCGCACAGCCAAGATTGAACAGATTCGTGTAATAGGGTTGATATAATTCGAGGTCATGGTTCAGTGTTTTCAGGGACGTGGCTTCACCGTAAATATTCTGAACAGAGAACAAGTAGTATCGAAATTAGTGGCCGTGACAGGCATGTTTTGCCGCAATAAAACATGTGCGGATAAGAGATCAATGCTTGTAAACAAATCCTTCTGAAACGTTACTCATCAACGTCCCAAGGTATTTGACTCGGTCAATATTACGACCCCCGATTTGGTAGGTACATACAGTGCAACCCTAGAGATAAGGTTGCAGGCCAACGGTTGGATTTTCTTTCAAAGCATTTTACTTGCCGATATCCACTGGCTCTGGATGAGTCCATAAGTCCATACCTAGAATACTCGACGGCAGACATGGAAGTCATGATATGACATCCAGTGTAGACTCGGGATGAGTAATTAGACACTTGTCACAGCTTATATAAGCTAAATACTTGGTATTTAAATACCTTACCATATCATATGTACGTTAATAACAATCATGTACAAGGCATCTTTCCATACACTTGTAGCTACCATTAGTATTGCTAAGTATTGACCTTTTCAACGCGTGGAGCCTATAACCAATACCTCCACTATTAGCCTAGCCTGGCTCGGCAGCTGCCCTTACTCAGTAGGTCACCAGACCCCGGAGACTGGGCTTCCCTGCATCTGAGCTTCACCGTTCAGGGCAACTACCAGCCTGGGCATACCTAGGCAGTAGCCTGTAGTCATAGCCTTCGCCTGTAAGCTACGGCTTGGCTAAGCCCTTATCTCACGCTTCTTCTTCACTCCAACAAGAAATTCCGATACCTCTCAATTGACTCTGTCACCCGACCAAGCGTGACATATCCATATAACCTTTGTTCCCGATACTGTTTTGGTCATCATTCTTTGTCGTCATTCTTTTTGTTGACTTCTTTGCTTCTTCAACTATCTTATCAATATTACTAGGCCCGCCAGTCATCCATCTGCCTACTGCGTCATTACCGCTGCTCGCGATTCAAAACTGCTGTCAACACCGCTCAGACTATGCGATAAGGCTTCTCACACCTTCAATCGAACTAAAGAATGGCTTCTCCTTCGAGAATCCCATCCGAACAGCCTCCCAGGTCTGCTTCGCCCTCGAGCTTCCGACCTCGATCGATTTCGGCTTCGGTCCCTCGAGCCGATTTGACAGCGCGTCTTGCTTCTCCCATCCCGTCACAACTACTTGGAACTACACCTCCCAGGGGAGGCTCGCCACGACCTGATGCAGCTCCACGTGCCGAGAATCTCGAGGATTTGTCCCAGTTGCCTGGGAGCGGGACCAGCGCTCAAGGACCTGGTGTATCTGCTCTCGCCGCTGCACTCTCCAACTCTCTAGGCCAGTCTCCTCCGCGACATGGCACTCCCGCAGCTCGCGTTGCTACTCCCCCGATTCGCTCACAGTCTCCTCTGCTCGGCGGTCGAAATTCGGGCACGCCGACCAACTATGGATCTTTCAATTCACGGTCACAAAATGCGCTGGGCACCAGTGCACCTTATGAAGATCCTGAGATTGTCAAGCGTCATCTAGTCCAACCCTCGGATGAGAATCCAGGTTCAGAAGAGTCATCGATTCAAGGTAATTCGAAGGGCAAGCAGCCAGCCGAAATCGGCGGTGCCGGACTGGGCGAGGACGAGTTTTCCAGCCTGAAGTTGCAGGGAGGTGATGTGACTCGAGGTATCTACAAGTGGACCGAACAGGCAGAAGCGAGAGCCAAGTACAACCGCAGCAAGAGTTTCGATTTGGGACGGCCTGAGCCCGAGGCGGAAGTACTTGACATCAACTCGATAAAGGTGCCCGGTGGCTTCCGAAGAAACCATCTCCGTCGCAACGTCCAAAGCCCTGGTCCTCATGGTCATCCTGAGGACGGCCACGCCTCTCCTGCGCCGGGTCAGCAAAGATTATTCACCTCTAGCTTCCTCGAATTTTTGACGATTTATGGCCACTTCGCTGGTGAGGAGCTGGAGGAGGATGACGAAGACTTAGGACCGAACGAGTACTTCTCATCCGGAGAAGACACAGACGAGTACAACTCCGACGACGAGCGGGAGCCTATGGAGGATAGTGCCTTGTTGACACCTTCAAGACGCAGACGCAAGCGCAAGGTCCGTGGTGGCACTGGAAACAATAGCCCCATGAACGCGGCCTTGCTGCTTCTCAAGTCCTTTGTCGGTACCGGTGTCCTCTTCCTTCCTCGAGCCTATCTCAACGGAGGCATGCTCTTCAGCAACCTGATTCTCTTTGGCGTTGCCGCTCTGAGCTACTACTGCTTTGTGCTTCTCGTACAAACACAGCTCAAGGTTGGAGGCTCTTTTGGTGATTTGGGTGGTGCACTTTACGGAAAGCATATGCGCACCCTTATTTTGGCCTCTATTGTCATCAGCCAGATTGGTTTCGTTGCTGCTTACACCGTATTCACTGCCGCCAATTTGCAGGCCTTTGTCAGGGCTGTCTCCGACTGCAAGTCCTCGATCAGTATCCAATGGCTCATTCTTATCCAGATGCTCATCTTCCTGCCATTTGCTCTTCTAAGAGATATTGGAAAGCTGGCATTTACTGCTCTAGTCGCGGATGCCTTTATTTTGATTGGCCTGGGTTACCTTCTGTACTACGATATTCTAACTCTCAACGCAAACGGTATCTCCGATATCATCATGTTCAACAAGAAGGACTGGACCTTGTTCATTGGAACTGCGATTTTCACCTTTGAAGGCATTGGTCTTATTATTCCTGTTCAGGAATCGATGAGACACCCTCAAAAGTTTCCTCGGGTTCTTCTTATCGTTATGATTATCATCACAGTCCTCTTCATTGGCATGGGTGCCATCTCTTATGCTGCCTACGGTTCTCACACAGAAACTGTTGTCTTGCTCAACTTGCCTCAGGACAACAAGATGGTCAACGGAGTTCAGTTCTTGTACTCTGTTGCCATTCTGCTTTCTACACCATTGCAGATCTTCCCTGCCATTCGTATCGCTGAAACAGAGCTTTTCACTCGAAGTGGCAAGTATAATCCTTGGGTCAAGTGGCAGAAGAATGTCTTCCGTTTCTTCGTGGTGATGCTTTGCGCTGCCATTGCTTGGCTCGGTGCCGACCATCTGGACAAGTTTGTTGCTCTCGTCGGTAACTTTGCCTGCATTCCGCTTGTCTTTATCTATCCTGTAAGTCAACAATGTCGAAAGATTTGGTGTACAATACTGACTGTTTCTTCTAGCCTATGCTTCATTATAAGGCGATTGCCCGCACGAAGTTTTGGAAGGTGGCCGACATCCTGCTCTGTATCTTTGGATTCATCGCAATGGCGTACGCTACCACACTTACTGCGATGAGTTGGGCCACTGCGGAACCTAAGCATCCTGGATACTGTGACGAGAAGGGAACAATGATTGGGTTCTGAGTCAAAGACTCATGTACAGTTGGTGTAATAGGTGTGCGAGCATGAGTTGGAGAGGTTTGACGGCCGCAAGGCTTGCTATATCCGTGTGTCAGTTGAGGATCCATTGCATATTGTAGCTTGCATTGTGGTGTTACCTTATTGGATAGATTGTATGTAGCATTTGGGAATGGGTGATGGGAGTTGAAGGTTTTAGCCGTTTGGTTTCGAGTTTCATTATACATCGTGTAAGACAGCATATTCAACTATATTGCTTGGCAGTTGTTGATTCGTGGCTCGTGATTTGGTTGATATTATCAATTGTCTATCCATGATTCGGCTTGGACACGTGGGGGGTCGGCTCGACCGGAAAGTGGGGGATTCTACATGAATCTCGGAGACCGAGGCGAAAATGATGATGTATGTCTATAGCAAAACACCGGGCCGTGATATTCGGGTTATTGGAGGTGTCACCAGAATAAATGCGAGGTCTCGTTCAAGAGCCACAACTCGTCTCAGATATTTTGTCATGTCTCTCCGGCCGTCAATAAGCTTGACGAGACGCTGTCTCTTCAGCTTGTCATCAACATCCAGGCGAACTTTTGCTCAACAGACACGGCAGACTCGACCTCCGCCTCCTCCGCCCTTTCAGACCGTCGCAACATGTCCGGAGCCGACATGCGGATGCGCAGCTACTCCTGCTATGCCAGAGGATCTTCCTCTGGACCGTGAGGGGCCTCTCAAAGGCGCAATTGCTGGGTATGCAGAGCATGTACTAGTGTGTACAGGAAATGCAGATTGGCCATCGAGAATAGAGGATGATAATGGCGGCGATTGCCTCGCTGCAGATCTGAAAGAGTTATTTGGACGTGGAGGGACTTACAGCGATGTTGGTGCTCTCTTATTATATATGGATTATGTACTGATCAACATAGCCTTTTCATAATGTCTCTGTTCTCAACTCGTCGTTTCCAAGCTCTGTTTCACCACGTCCTGAGGTTCAGACCACGTCCGTATATTTAGTCCCAAGCTTCAAATACGTCCCTTTTCTACCGCGGGTATCGTTTGATAGTGTAGAAGCACTAGCAAAGGGTTTTCTTCTCCCCAAGAAGCTTCACCCTGCACATGAAGGTCTCTCACCTATACATCGGGATCGCTTGACCCGCAAAGAAGGGTACCAGGGACTTCTACCAGGCGTTCAAGATGTTCGCGATGTTTTGGTCTTGATATGTGGACATACAGGCCGTGATGCTAGATGCGGTATCATGGCGCCTGTTCTGCAAACTGAGTTCGAGGACAAGTTGGAAATGGAGGGTTTTGACGTTTTGTATGGACCCGTGCAAGTCAATCTCGGCGACAAACAAAGAATACAGGGAGAGACTGGTCGAGGCAAGACTACAGCTAGAGTTGGTTTGATCAGTCATATCGGGGGTCATAAGTTTGCTGGCAACGTCATCATTTATCTCCCTCCAGACCTGAAGATGGGCAATGAGCCTCATCCTTTGGCTGGATGTGGAATTTGGTACGGAAGAGTTGATCCAAAGAATGTGGAAGGTATCGTAAAAGAGACTATTCTGAAGGGAAATGTGGTTGCGGATATGTTTAGAGGAGGTATTGATGCTGAGCATAAGATGTTGAGGATGTAAGATATCTGTATTGATAGATGGTTAGATACCCCAAGGTCGCGAAACATGAACAATACACTCTTCAATAGAAGTATGGAATTATAAATCATTACCACGCGCTACCTATTTACGAAATGTATTCAGTCATGACGGCTATGTATACATGTTGAGGTGATTCAAGTGATTCACGTGACCTTGATCTAGTAATTCCAGCTTCAATTTTTGGTGACCATGAACTCAAGGACCTTCTGAAGATACTGGAAAGAACGGGACCGCAAATACCAACTCGTACGTCCGAGTATATTTGCCTTATTTAGTCTGCTTTGACCTCAGGCGGTTTCATTCTGGATGTGATAGCTCAAGAAGACGACTGAAAAACTCTGTGATCGAAACTGGTGCACTCACCACCAACCAATATGATAAGAGCCACGCCAAGGATACTCACAAGTTCATCGCGATCTGTCATCCATAACCGACTAATTCTCACAAACTATGCTCATTTTCAGAGCCGTTTGTCAATAGCTAAGACGCAGTCTCCAAGAATCTTATCACGGAGCCTCTCAACTTCATCACCATCTCAGCAACACGCTTCTCAAAAACCAGACTTTTCTACATCTCTTCAATCACGGGTCTTCCCCTCTTTAATAGTGGCTGGAATTATTCTTGTCAGTGGCGGCTACTATCTTATCACGCCGCCGTCTCGACCCAACACTCTCAACGAGATAACCTTTGTTCCCTACGGCATCACAACTCGCGAGGCCATCTCACCAACCTCATTCGTCATCACCGCAGTCCCACGCACACCAAACCCTTCTCTACCATACCTGACACCTTCAGATAACCGCTGGAGCTATCCTCTCTGGTCTGTGGAGTTCAAGCAACCTGAGGTACAAATTTCTCGGCATTATACACCTCTGCCTCCACTATCTACGGAGGATCCTACAGATGGTTCGCTCCGGTTTTATATCCGGACTGTTGGCGATGGTGAAATGTCCAACTACCTAGGTCGAAGACAGGTTGGAGAAGATGTTTTCCTGCGTGGTCCACACGTTGGCTTTGAACTAGCGGAGCGATTGGGTGAGCATTCTCGTCTTGTCTTCCTTGCCGGTGGTACGGGCGTAGTGCCTGGTATACAAGCAGCGAAGGCTGTCTTGGAAGCGAGCGAAGAGTCAAGTGTTGACCTCCTCTGGGCAGTGAGGAAGAGAGAAGAGGTTCAAAAAAGTGCTCCTCCTCGGCAATCATCGTGGAAGTTTTGGCAAGAAAAGAAGCCCACTCCATTAGGCACTGAGGTTGAGAACCCTAGCCCCGTCACAAAGCGCTTACAAGACCTCAAGATGACCTATGGTGATCGTCTCAGGATACAGGTCGTTGTTGACGAAGAGGGAACTCGCTTCCAGGAGAAGGATATTAGGGATGCCATTGCAGCATCGCCTGGAACTGTCGCTTCATTCAATGCAGGTTGTCGATTCCACGATCAATCAATGCATGTTTACGCCTCCGAATTCGCCCTCTCTGACGGGCCTGGTTGTGTGTGCAAGTCTTCCGAAGGCACTACCCCCGGGAAAAACTTGTTTATCGTCTCTGGCCCCGACGGTTTCATTGAGCACTATGCTGGGCCCAAGATATGGTTAGGTGGCCAGCAGACTCAAGGTCCGATTTCTGGTGTAGCTGGTTATCTGCAAAAACAGAACCCTCTCCTGGCAAGAGATTGGCTGGTCCTCAAGATGTAAAATCACTGTAAGGATAGTCTCATATACTGTATTATAGTTCAAAGCACTCATAAAGAGGGGTATACATCATTTATTGGGTACAAATAAAACATGGAATACTATGTAACAATGATGCCTTCTACGTGATAACCCAACGCCAACACTAGACTCCAAACCCATGGCATGTTCCTCTAGTGGCTCTGAACCTTCCTATACGACGGAGGCTTCATTGTCCTCCTAATCAACTTGCCCGCGTATGGCGGGATCAATGAAACTGCACCAATGGCTAGTACACGCCAGACAAATCCCCTGAGCAGATGTTAGTACATATGGCCCAGCAAATCAAGGACGACTTACCATGTTATCAAGAACTGAAGGTCAAAGTATCCACCTAAGAAAGGTATGGAGCCGATATACAAGACGAAAGTGCCGATGATACTAATGATCATAATGGGATGCCATGTAGTGATCTCAATGGCCACCATGAGAAGTTCGTTGAGCACTAGAACGGTATAACTGACAGCAACCATCTTGGGCCCATCGACTTCAGTGAGAATCTGCGACAAGCCCTGAATCATGCCGCCTTGGTAAATGGATACAAAGACCCAAACAAAGAAAGTTCTGTACGATAGAGATCGTCCAGAAGTGAGTTCCTTATAGAGCTCGGGGTAGAGGTTGGCAAGGTTCTCGTCCACATCCTTATCTAACACAAGTGACAACACAGGGGCTGCAGTGTATACAGTAGCATAGCCGACAAGTAGCCAATCCTGCAATCGTTAGTTGTCACGAACAGAGAAAAGAGCTCCTCGGCTTACCTTGTATAGACCCTCAGGCTCAAACTTGATAGCAATACTATACATAGTCTGGCACACAGCAATGATCAAACCACGGTGAATAACAAACTGTGCGAGCTTAGCACTTCGCTTGTAACTGTTACGGCCATGCCAGACCAATAGCTTGACCAGATGACAAAATTGCTCAATCGAAAAGTCTGCCGCCAAACTAGCCTGTCGGCCTTCCTTGCCAACAATACCAACACCAACATCAGCAGCTTGGATCATTGAGACATCGTTGCCACCATCGCCGATACAGCATACGCGCTTTTTAGTGTACTCGCGGATCAGTTTGGCAACTTCGGCCTTTTGGTTCGGCGAACAACGGCAAGCAACAACGGTGGGCAGCTGGACGGCGATGGAGATGAACTCAAGACGGAAATGTGTCAGAAAGAGAGCCAGACTTTCGCCATCTACCAGGAGACAAGCGTCTGTCTTGCTTCGGAGGAAGTCAAGATGTTCCTGGGCGTTATCCTTCTTCTTGAGCTTGGAAACTGTATAGATGTACTGACCGCGAGCCACCAGTTTGGAGCTGACAGCAACACATCTGGCTGTCTCGACCTTGTCACCAGTCAACATCCAAATCTTGATACCAGCATTGCGGAGGAGCTCTAGAGAGGGTTTTACGTCCTTCTGCAGCTTGTCCTCGACACCAGTCACGCCAATTAGTTCCAGATCATGTTCCAGGTAGTGCGAAACCACCCGCTGCATGCCAGCATCACGCCCACTGATCGAAAGCGATGCTTCTTGATGGCGAGCCGAGAACTCCTTGTACTGATCGTATGAGAGCTTCTTGCGACCAACCACCAGCGTACGTAAGCCTTCGCGCGCCATATTGGCGGTCTCCTCGTCGAGCCAATCGTTCGCTGCAACGATGGAGCTCATGACGGTATCAGCACCCTTCTGGAAGAACCAGATTTCGCCAGTAGAGAGACTCGGGTTCTTCACCTTGACGTCTTCGTGGAAGTGGACGATGATACCCATTCGTTTGCCTTCGGAAGTAAAAGGGAAAACGTCAAGGATTCGCACGCGAACCACAGGTCTCTTGCTGTTCGTGTATTCCAAAACCATACTCTTGCGATCTCGGTACACAAGTCTCAGGCCGACTGATTCTGTCCACTTGACGATGGCGATTTCGTCTGGAGATGATGCTTGATATCCAGTAACCTCTTTGCCATCCTCAATGTCCACAGTAGGTGTAACATTATGGCAAAGGGCGAGTGCCAGAACTACATCTCGAACTCGCGTGCCAATCTCTCGTCTTGTACGCGTCGTGCCCATAGTTGTAGTGCTAGAGTATGTGGATGACGGAGTGATAAGCATGTTTTGGGCAGCAGCGTCTGCAGAGGGCGGGATGTAGAAGCCTTGTTTAACATACGTTGACACTTCGTCCATTGCCTCGTTGGCATAAGACACAGTACCAACGTGAATTTTCTTCATTTCCATCTCATTTTGGGTTAATGTACCAGTCTTGTCGCTGAGCAGGTATTCGATTCGGCCGAGATCTTCAGGTATAGTACTTGTTCGAACAACTGCTCCAGGCATGCCAGGATCACGTTGTATAAACCAGGAATATGCGCTCTTGCCCATGTCCAGGTTCACGCGCAGGCTGATGGGGACAATGGTAGAGAACAAAACCAAAAATCGCATGATCTTGACGTACCACACATTGTCTTTGGTGTTTCCGAAACCCTCGAGGGCGACAAGGATGATGGAAAGAGCCAATGTCAAGGCGCACAAGATTTTAGTCAAAGAGTTGATCTCGTATTCAAGTAGGCCGGTCTTGGAACGTGAGGGGGCTGTCGATAGAGCAGACCGCGTCTGAGGACCTGTGTACATGATGACGGCTAGTGTCGTGGCTTGCGAGGCGATGACAGTATTGGCCCATGCTGTGTTATCTATCGACAGAGCAGCCGTGTGGGAAGCGTCAGAGTCTTGTACTGTCGCATGGTGCGCCAGTGCATCCTTTCGAGATTCTACCAGCTCAATTGTGCCCAGAAACTCGTTTACCTTCCTGTCTGGCTTTCCACCGGTGACGCGCAGACGAACAAACTCCTCCGTTGGTAGATTTTGTGTGAGTGGTGAAGCAAGTCTGAGCTTCCAATCCGTCTCACCATCCAACTGATCGGTCCTAATGAAAGTCTCCCCTCCTGGTCCGCTTTCAGTCTCTTGCTCTGATGCCGCTTCTGCGGGTTGTTTGCCCTTTGCTTGAGGCTCTTCACCGTCGAACGCCAACAAGGTATCCTCCTCTGCTGGTTCTTCGGGAATCGGTGCAGGGGCTGGTGCCTCGGAAGTGAAGCATTTCAATATGACAACATCTGCAGGTACACGTTGACCCTTTGTAAGTTTGAGAACATCGCCAACTTTCAAGTCTTTTGACTTGCGGCTGACTTCGACAACCCGTGAGGATGGCGGGGGTGCCTCGACGTCGTCTTCCTCCAAAATGTCTGACAAGTTCTCTCGGGCCCCCTTTGACTTCTTCCTAGAGTGTTTCTGTAACACTTCAGACTTGAGCAGTTTTCTTTGGCGTACAGGGGCTAGATTGGAGTCGGCATCCTGAAAAACCAGAATGCTGTACTCTTCTGAATTCGCTTCAGTGTCTCTTCGCCGTCTGGCAATATCATCGAAGGCCTCCTTTCCCATGGTAATACAGAGTACAAACGCCAATGGTGCAATGTACGTTAACAGGTAGCCAATTCTCAGGGCGGGTATCGCCTGCGACAGTGCCACGAGAAGGAAGTACATGTTGAAGAAGAACGAGAATTCGTTATAGAGGGTTATAGGGAGGAATGTCAAGGCTGTGTACTTGGCATTTGAGATGATGTTGTTTGGAAATCGCACAGGTTGAGTCGATCCCACGGCCACATGTCGAGAGGAGGATGGGTCGTCGTCTTCTTGGTCATCGGCATCGCTCGGTTCTGGTTTCTTCGAGCCCGACATGAAACTAGGGAATCGTAACCGTGAAGATACTCGATCCGAGTTCATGGACTTCCGGCTTTGCGAAGGCTGGCCCCCTAGCAGTGGTTGATCATCCTCATTGTAGCCGCTTCCTTCCGACCATCGAGATGCACTGCTGTTATGTTCCCCTAATAATGTTTGAGAATGCTCATCGTTTCCGTCCCTGTCCTGGCCGAGGTCGCCATACCCGCGATTCCTCTTTCCAGCTCGCCGCACTCCACCCATGCGCAAATTTCGCAGCGCTATCCGCGATGTCTGTGGCTCGGTTGAAGGGCGCTCGCTATCCCTTGGAGCTGGAGTAGTTGATATTGGGTCGAGCTCCTGAATATCTAGATCAAGGTCGGAATCGGAGTCATTCGCGGGAGAGTCGGGTGGGTCGGAAGCTCGATATCGTGGTGAGGGCGGCATTCCTGGCTAAGCTCCTGACGATGAGGAGGAATAGAAAAGGTGCTGTGTTATAGGTGAAGAATGGAGGATGGGAGCTAGCGGTGCTGCTCAGACATGCTGCGGCGGTGATGTGAGGACGTTTACGGTTCTTTTCGTAGTCGTGCTTTTCTGGTTGTAAGACTTTCCTCCCTCGTGTCCCTTGTCGGGGAATTCGGTGATCGTCTTTGTTCTTTCGGTTGTATACTGTTGAGGGCCGTCGAATCTTTAGGAGCTCTTATCTGTATCGCATTTCAGGGTCGAAGTCGCAAAGTGATCTACGCGTTCAATGTCCGTCCGGCGAACTTGATGTTGATGAATGCTAGCAGCAATCGAATAGAGGCCGAATTGAATTTCGTTTGGGACACTTGATGTTTGTTGCGAAATGGTGACTCGTGTCTTGGCTCACAAGGGACAGATCATTTCAAGACCGGGTGCTGTATCATTTGTATTGTCGTAGCCTACGCTATTGCCAAGCGTCCTTTGGGGGGGGGGGGGCGTCACCTTTAAAAGTGTCCCGCTACCATTTACAGAGGCTGGTTCTCATAGATACCTCCTATACAGCTATAAGTTAGCCTCCTTCCAGGTATTTCACATGTAGCTTAGTGGGGCGTGGCGGTAGCTGTGCCTGACAGATTACGTGGAGGTGCATGCATGCTTACCCTGAACGGCCTCATGAAATCTCTCCATAGTTCGTGACTTTATGTCAACATGAGGATACGTTTGATTTCCACTACGGAGTACACTACCTATCAGGCAGACGGATAATATTAAACTATATGTCTACGTCGCAAGCATACGTACGTG